TATTGATTGATTACCACCCTCGGCCACGAGCCACTTATCTTAATAAAAGTTGTGTTCCACTTATTTGAATTTAAGTAAAGGATGCCACGCAACAAAGCACATCGTATTGGTCCTTTAGAGCGAAACGTTCAGGTATGACCGACGGTGTCCTAGGATGAGGGGCCCACAAAATGGCCCGCATCTTGAAACGAGAAGCTCACCGCGTCGTCCTCTCGCTAAATCACAGGGCGGTAAGCCTGAAAGAAGGCCGAGGTGACAAAATCTCCACACTTGGGGTTGGGAAACGACAGCCGTCAGAAACCAACCAAAAGTCTAGCCCCACGTCGTAAATAGGTGAGGGGACCCCCAAGATTAGGGAAAATCCAACACCAGAGGGATTAATAAATCTCTCCCGAACTCCTTATCGGCCGAAGGAATAGCAACCCCCTCGGTCGAGCCTGAAAGAAGGATCCCGCACTCCTCGCTCAAAGAAGTAAAGAGGAAGTCAAAAAAAAGAGGGAAGTCGAAGGACCGCACACTTGCCGGCCTCGAGCAAATGAAAATAAGATCCCCAAAATTCAAGCCACAAAATTTGGCTAAGTACGTATCAGGCAATTTTCAGTGCAAAATAAATGATGGACGAAGGAAGCCCACACAAGCACAACCTAAGTAAAGTCCAACACCCCGCCGAAGGAGGCCACCAACTCAAAAGTAAGGGGTGCCTTAATCTTGGCCGAAGCAGAACCACCTAGAAAGTAGTTCAAACTCTGAAAAGCCAGGTACTTGAAACATCCATAACCTAGCCGACGCATACCCGTGGTTTGAACAATGACACCAAAGAGGCGCCTTCATCAGCCACATTTCCTAAAATGCAGAGGGCTTAAACGTTAGTGGACAATCCAAAACACTTAGAAAAATTTTCTAAAGTGCAAGTGACGCCTCCTTGGCCAAAGAAGGGCCACAGGGACATGACACCGACTCAAAAAACTCATGGGAGATGCCCACCCCCTTAGCTGACGGTGATCATGCACACGCATCATCCACAACGAAGGAAAACATCTACCCGGTTTCAGCTAGATGCTTGGAAAAATTCCCAAGTATAAACCACACTTCCTTAGTCGACGGTGATCAGGAACCACACTCGGCCACAACAAAGGTGATCACACACGCTAATCAGTCAAGCGGGAGATGGATGACATCGGCAAAAAAGGAGACAAAGAGGATGAGACGAACACATTATCATGAATTTCTATGCACAATCATCTGAAACGTGACCTTACTAAACGCTCCTGAATCACTCAAATTATAGCAAGTATAAAAATTCCCAAGTATAAACCACACTTCCTTAGCCGACGGTGATCAGGAACCACACTCGGCCACAACAAAGGTGATCACACACGCTAATCAGTCAAGCGGGAGATGGATGACATCGGCAAAAAAAGGAGACAAAGAGGATGAGACGAACACATTATCATGAATTTCTATGCACAATCATCTGAAACGTGACCTTACTAAACGCTCCCGAATCACTCAAATTATAGCATACTAGATTCGTTCTACTCCTTTAACAATTAAATTCCTCGTTTTCTCTTAAATCACATAAATGTGCTTTTCATCTGAATGACATATTGTAATGTCCCAAATTGGATTATGCTCCAACAAGTTTTATAGTCTTGTTATGACTAAGTCTTAATTAAAAAACTATTATTTATAGGCTTGTTAACCCTCACAACGAGTCTTTTTAAACCTCTTCAATCTTTTTTGAGGCGGGTCTTGAGAACTGGGGTGGATTTTCCAACATCTAGCAGGTGTCTAGATGAAGGATGTTCACGGGTATGCCTTTGTCCAACAACTGTTGGAAGGACAAATTTGTGTTCATTTCATGCATAGATGAGGACACATTTCCCATGAGTTACTCTAAAGTATTCCACAATAACATGAAGAGTAATATTGCTGCCAACGAGGATGCCATTCAAAGGTTGTTGGGCGGGGGTGAGAGGGAGATCAAAGAAGTGATCATTGAGGAGAAGCTATTTTTGTTGAGATTCGTCCGGTATATATTTGTTGCCAGGTGAAGAGACTGGTCTCCATCCCAAAATGGCGGAAGAATACAAAAGGGCTAAACTGTGTGCCTCATTGGCTGAAGGTGGCTAACACTCCACCCCCACACAAAATTTTCTTATGCCTTTTTTATTGTAGACATAGACATGGACTGACTGGGAAAGCTTGTGGCGAGGAAGATTCTAAGGAATGACAAAAAGAAGGTAGAGAATGAGGCATATAACTCTCACTGTCTTAGCTAAGAAGAAAAGCACGATTCCCACTGGCGCCGAGGGGTGTAGAAGAGGAAGAAGTCCTAGGGGGTCAAGTGTGGCAATAAAACTCTCACCGGATAAAGTCATAAAATTCAAGAGTTGTCCTGACAATATGATGCTGAGGATACATCTTCCCATCACTCCCCACCACTAAAGGTCACCCTCCTTCCGAGAGTTTCACCCGGGAAAAAATTAAAGGGGTGATGGATCCTACGGTCGCTGTAGATGTGGATGCCATGATTGAGAACGAGGGGCGTGGTGCTAGAAGAGTGTCATATAACCTTGATATCTTTCGAGCTCCTAGTCATCACATGGGGTGATTGATGGTGGTCTCTTCGATCATGAGCGCGTGCAGAAGGCCTTGTCAAACCCCAGTCACGCTTGAGTGAAGGCTATGGAAAACGAGGATCTCTTCATTGATGCCATGGATCCTAGTGTCAGGGTAGATTATCCTTGTATCCTTTTCGCATTTTTGTATTTATATTGATGCCTCTTTTTTCTTTGAGGTGCATGGGGATTTCATGGAGATAGAGTTCGTTAGGAGAATGTGCTCCCGATCATGAGAGTTGGGCGCGCTAGAGCTAAAGTATGAGGGCGTGAACGAGGCTCTTGCAAGCTTGGGGATGCTAAGGGTGCAAGTCGTTAACCTAAAGCAAAGGGTTGAAACGGTCTAAGGAGAGTAGCCAGTTCTGGAGCACAAACTAAAGTTGGTCGAGGACGTGCACACCAAGTCTATCAGCATTGCTGAGGCCAGTTTATGAACCCAAAATGAGGTCGAGAAGGAAGCAGTGTAGGCTAGAGCTAGGGTCGAGAATACTGAAAAGAAAGTGTAGACTACTGCTGATGAAAGCATTTATGGAGGACAACGTAACTAGAGAGGCGAGGAACGACGACATTTGCTCTTCATTTTCATATCCGCAAAGATAGGTGATTGGAGGGAGACATAGTTTAGGAGCAATTACATGGCGGCTAAGGGTAAGATTAACTATTCCTTCGGCGAGTATAGTTTGCATCCGCTCATCAACCGTCAGCTGGTTCGTCACTTCCCAAGTTCCGCCTAGATGGTTATGGCCTCTTAGAGAAAATGAGCCATCTCGAGGAGGAACTCAAGAAGCCGACATGAGAGCGATAGGAGAAGATTGTTGATTCATCCCCAGAATCTTTCTATGTTGAGGATGAAGACGAGAATGTTGAGGAAGAGAACGGGGCCAAGTATAATCTTGAAACCTCTGTACTCAGCATCTTTTAGCCGATACCTCATTCGCAATGTAGCATTGGCTTGTACTTTGTAGTCTTTGTAGTGGCAATGCCCCCTCGTGTACTAATCTTGAAAATTATTGAAATCTTGTTGACTTCATCTTCATGTTTAAATATTTGCTTTCTGCGTCCTTACATTTTTGTGTTGTTGTACATCAGAAGGAAGTATGCGTTAGCTGGGCCATAAGGTGCCATTCAGGCTTTAATTCTCGATCAAGCATGGCCCTTAATAAGTGGCCGATCGATGGACTAACACTTTGTTTAAGCTTCTACCTTAGTGTGGTCGAGGGTAACTTTTTTTTTGGGGGGGGGGGGGGGGGGGGTTGGGGGTTGGGATGAAGAAGTAGGATTGTCGATAAAATATTACCAAGTTGTATACATTTCACAATAGTGGCACTTCAAATTCATTTGGATGCCTGAGCTTGTAGGTTCTAGTTTTGATGGCAGTGGTGATGATGTAAAACCCTCGTGATTCTGGCCTAGTTTTTCACCCTCAATTGGTTAGTTGGCTTTCATCGACGGAGGACGCAGTCTCCCACTTGAAACTCCCGAGAACACATGTCTTCTATAATTTTCAGCCTGTAGGTAGGCTTGTTCCATCCGCTCGGAGACAGGTGTATGTCGATCCACATGTTTTCTTCATTCTCCTCAGCCTCATATTGTTCCACATGTTGGGAGGCTATTAATGGTAACCTTCATTGGTGCTTTGGCCTCAAATCCATATCATAATGCGAAGGAAGCTTCACTGGTTGCTCTCCTCAATGTCGTCTGGTAGGTCTAGAAGATGTTGTGTAGTTCTACGATCCATCCACCACCCTCAGCCTCGAGTTTTTCCTTAAACCCCCTAAGATCGTTCGGTTGACGTTCTCAACTTGACATTTGCCCTGTGGGTAAGCAATGGACGAGAAGTTATGTTTGATACTCATATTGAGAGCCGTTGTCAAAGATGATGTGCAGAAGCACTCCGATCTGGGTGAGGATGTTATTCAACACAAATTTCGTCTCGATGATACTAGCCAGGATTCGAGTTATACTTTTACTCATTTTGTGAAGTAGTCAATGATCCAACAATTATTCCAGGTAATCTTCGAAAGTGAAATAGCCATGAGGGTCACCCATCCATAAGAGGTCCTTCGGTCCTTCCCCACACGGCAAAACCAAGGGAATACGTTTTGGCTCATGTAAACTGTGAAGTGAAAATATATAATTAGATGACAGTATGACCCGCATATCATAATACAGTAACTACTCGGCTAAAATTAAAATTTACGTGGGGGGTTTCTCATGAAAAGGACACGCCACTAGTCCACCTCCGCTGTCTTTTAGGAGGAATGGAGGATAGTGTCATATTCTTTTTCTAGATAGATAATAAACACTTATCGATCAGCTTGTCTAGTGTACAGACATGATCAACAGTTTTGTATAGATAAGTCCAGTGGTGGTTGAGTCATTTCTTCTTTTGACTCTCTTTCAGCTTTTATTGGTTCTGAACTGCGCGTGATTTAGTCTGTTCTGAATTCCACAGAGTTATTTCTTTCTTGAAGGTACTTTTCTTTGCGTTGTCGGTCCCTTTGATGCCTGATCAGCTCTTTTCTTCTGCGATGTGTGCCTGTTATTCGATGGATTTGGGGCTTAGTGATTCGCGAAACGGTTATAGCCGCAAGGGATTATGATCTTCTATCATGGATTGAAATTCTTTGGTTTTGGTTGATCTTCATCTTCTGGATGGAAGTCTCCCAATCATACTCAGTGCCGGCTTTAATCTGTTTATGTGATTGCTTCTCTTTCTACTGTTCTTTGGCCCTTGATTCTTCTCACTTTTCGTGATTTTTATTTATTTTATTGTCGAGAATTGAAAGTTTTTCTTGATTGGAAATAAAAAGAAGAAAAGAAGAAACTTGAAGTTTAGAGCCCATTAGGTAGCACAGCTCGGCTTATTTCCTTAATAGGGCTGTCTGGAAAGGGTTGTTCGGGTGATGGGGCTGTATTTGCTTCTGAAAGCAAAAGATTTGGCAATACCCAATTTAGCCAAATAAGTAAGTCAAAAAATGCAAGTAAAAAATAATTATGTTTTTTTGTGATTAGTTTATGATAAGCACAATTAACAACTTTTGGATGCCAAAAGGGCTCTTGAATTAGTAGCTTTTGGGTTACTTATTTGGCTGAAATAGGTTTGACCAAACGTCTTTCCTTACCAAACTGAGCCTTTGTATCATTACATATGAAAATGCAAACTCATCACAGAGACACACTCTGGTTTTAAAACATCAGTTGAGAGTTGAAACAGATCACATCATTCATTTGATTTGTTATGCTTTTGTTGTGGATGAAAGATGTTGTTTTTGTATATAATGTCTTTGATATGTATGATGTAGACATTTTGACATATTTGCTGCACTGGAATTGGTGGATTGATCTGAAAGTGGTATTAGATGGGATCTGAGGGGCCACCAGCCATAACAATCCACATTACGGGATTTCGAAAATTTCATGGGGTAGCAGAAAATCCAACAGAAACGATTGTGAGTAACCTTGAAGAATATTTGAAGAAAAGGGGAATGCCCAAAGGGTTCATTCTTGGGAGTTGCACTATTCTTGACACTGCAGGCCAGGGAGCATTAGCTCCTCTGTATGAAACATTGCGATCTGGTCTAAGCAACAATACTTCTGATCCATCAAATTCAAGAATTATCTGGGCAAGTCATTTTCCCTTGCCCCCTTGGTTTTATAAGAATCTCCCTGTTGCACTTTAAAGGATGGCCAATTGGCCAGTAAATTATGTTACTTTTATAAGTATTATTAGGTTCAAATTGTGCTTAGTGCATAGTGGAATGGAATCACAGTTTGGTAATCAGGTCCTAGTTTCACATGAACTCCTATCACTTCACACCCTAGAAAATGACATTTTAAAAGGACACTTATTTTTCCTTATTGGGGATGAAAGCATTGGATGCTACTATATTCCTGTCAAATTAGACCATGGAGAGATGTGACATTTCAGACTCGGCTTTTCCAGGTTATTACTTCATTATAGCAACACGAGATAGTCATGGCGTATCTTACTATTTTGGATAAATTACTTTTTTTATTCCACTACCGTAGGTGTTTACAAAACTAGTCATGTATGTTTATTTGGCAATTCAGATCTCTTACTTTCAAAAATTCAATAATTTAGTCTCAGAACCACTAAGAATTACAAAGCTCATGAGAAAATACCGTTGAAATTAGGGTTCTATTGAATCAAGGGTGATTTGTCAATTTCATAAATAAAAAAATATGCATATTGGACATATTTGAGATTTAATATAATTATCACGTCTATTTTCAATCAATTTACGGTGGTTCAGGCTAAATTGTCTATATTGTGAAAGTAGGTCTGAATTCCTAAAACAAATTCCAACAGGACAGGGTTTTGCAAAACATCCTTTTTGGATAAGGGACTCAAAAGCATTTTACCCTACTAATTTGCTATGTTGGAAAAATGCACGCTAAGATCCGCTCTTGTCTGCCCAGACAATGCCACATTGGACTTCACTTGGCTGCCTACATTTTTTTTCATTTTCTTTCTTACATGATCTTGCCTGATTAGCTCTGTAGAACCATGGCTAAATATTGCTTCTTAATATATATTCAAGGTAACTTCATAAGATCTGACATTTCTTTTACTAATAAATAAGTTGATAGTTCATTTGTCGTGCTCAGAGACTACATTTTTTTCTTAATGCTTCATTTGCTTGTGAAATTGGTTCATTTAAGTATTCTGAAAATAAAAAATTGTTGCATTTCACAAAGGGAGTGATTTTAGAATTCCTAAGTTTTTCTTTTCTGATTATTTGTAGTCCTTTAAAAGAAGAAATAATCCTTGAGACTGTTAAACCCTTATCCACATCATATAGACCTACCCTGACCATCCCATATCTTGGCCACTCCCACATTCTCACCTCCCAAACTCTGATCACGCAAACTACATGTCTACATCCCATCTGAAATCCTGACCACACTCACACATTTTGTATGCAAACCTTTTTCCAAACCTCCTCAACAACTTATTCCGTTTTGGCAGAATAATTACAGAAATTTCATCTGAGAAAGGGAATAAGTTTCCAATATTTCATTTTGTGCAGTTATACAAAGTAATGGAATTGTAATAGCTTTATTATTATTTTGATTAACTCATTTGTTTTATTACTCAAAATTCACCGATTTTAACTCTTCTCAGTGTCTGGAAACCAGAACCTTTGTGTAATAAAATCATGTGTAGACTTAATCTAGGTTTACCCCGTTTATGTATCAAGTCTTTCATGTTGTTATCACATATATTTTTCAGGTACACTTTGGAGTTAATAGTGGTGCTACAAGGTTTGCCATAGAACAACAAGCAGTTAATGAGGCTACTTTCCGCTGCCCGGATGAAATGGGATGGAAACCACATGTTAGTATAATGTCCTCTGTTACCCTCCATATACTATCTTTTCTTTTGTAATTGTGTGATTCTTTATCATTTATTTTAGCTATAACCCATTGTTGTCTATTTGCAGAAAGTTCCAATAGTTCCCAGTGATGGTGCAATTTCACACATAAGAAAGGTGAGTTCTCTCTGTCTCTCTACGAAAATGAAGGTGAATTGCCCTCAATTTTTCATGCACAAATTGCCTCGTATGTATCTGGTCTTTCAACTTGTTCGGGAGAGAATTGCCTTTACTTTTTCTATGAGGCTGCCCTACACTAAACCCAAATTAGTTTGTTACTGATATTTCATAATCGTAAATGTCAAAATAAAGGCCACTATGGAATTAATACTTTTAATGGGGGGCCATGTTAGCTGTAAGGTGTGTGAGTTTCTACCCCTCCATCCATTACATGTCAAGCTCAATTTACCGCATGTTAACTATTCTTTGTTTATAAAGAAAATACAATGTTTCTTAAAAGTCCAACAAATGTCATTAGTTTTTCCTGTATACCCTACTCCCTCCATCCCAAATTATTCGTCGATTTAGCCAATACTCCCTTTGTCCCTAAATAAAAGCATTTGTTTCCTTTTTGGGTCGTCCCTAAATAAAAGTCCCCTTTCCTTTTTTGGCAAACAAAACAGTGCCAAACAGTGGCCAAACGTGTCCAAACAGTGCCAAACAGTGCCAAACAGTACCAACCAACCCCACTTTCTTAAAATGTGTGGAAAACTAATGGATACTTTTATATAGGGACGGAGAGAGTATATTTTTTCACAAAAGAGTTGCCCTTTTAGGATTTCAATGCATATTTTGTACGGAGTATTAATCACTCAAATTTGCACTTACTGAATTTTCTCATATCAAAGGTTATTTTGACTTGAAAAGATATAAAAAGCATTTAAGGATGAACATTTTGAGGGAAAGTTGTTTTGTATTCTTAATATGTGTGCACTTTTCTAAACTAAATGTAGGCCAAGGGAGTGTACATATAAGGTTTATAGCTACAGATGCTGTGAACTCATGCCCCCATCCCCAGAAATGTTGGAACAAAATGCTCAATATTGTTGTGTTTATTTAACAAATATGTAGACTTCTCTTCCGGTTGAGGAGATCAGCAAAGGCTTAGCAAAGATGGGTTACGAAGTGATGAGCTCCGATGATGCAGGCCGCTTTGTTTGCAACTATGTGTACTATCACTCGTTGCGGTTTGCGGAGCAGAACGGAATAAAATCCCTATTTGTACACTTCCCTCTCTTCCTAACTATAGACGAGGAGACCCAAATGCAATTTGCTGCTTCGTTATTAGAGGCAATTGCTTCTGTATGCTAGGTCTTCTTTCTGCATGGGATTCTTCTTGAATCCTAGTTTTAGGCTTCCTGTGCTCTTTTGGTTGGTTGATGTATCTTCTGTAATAAATAAGTCTCAAATCGATCACAAGTACATTGTTTTATCAATCGTGGTATTTGTTATATGTACCTGAAAGCTGTTTACCTCTGGTTTCTAAGTTGGGGTTTTTACCTTTTTAGTTTATTTCCTCTGTTTTCACTGTCTATTACGGAGTACATCTTTTAATCTTTAGGCTATTTGCAATCCTGAGTTGAATTATATCGTGGTTAATTAACTCTTAATTTATGTCAAAATAATTTCTACAATGACCTAGAATAAACTATTAAACAATTAAATGCAGAGTATAATGTAAATTTCATGTATATTACTATATAAATGTGACTTGGTTTTACATTTTCCAAAATTATGACTTACCATTTCATTTGACCCTCATTTAATCGTACATTTATTATTTTAATATTCCATTTTAATATTTGAATGAGTACTGCCGCCATCTTCGCTGGCACAACCGCAGTTGCCACCGCCGCCGCAGTTACTTCATTATTAACTTTCTCCAATGACTCCATTTTCCAGTGACTTCATGATCTACCATTATAGTGACTCCGATTAGCCAAAGTGACTCTGGCCAGCCATAGCCACAATGACACCTTCACAGTGATTCAACCATCCATTGTGACTCTAGCAAGCAATAGTGACACCTCCGTAGTGACTTTGGCAACATTGACACTGCCACAATGACGCCGGTCACTAACACCGCCACTAGATCCCAACCGCCCCAACCCTAGCATCCGACCTCCAGGCTCCAGCCCACCACCGCCGTCATAGCCAACACTGCCGGTTACCACTGTTGTAGCCTGGTTACCATCGTCGTAGCCACAAGCACCAACAGTCACCACCATCACACCCTAGTCCGCCCCTGTCATTACTGCTCGCCGACTCCCACCGATCCTCAGCTACTGGCAGCTAGCGCCCCACCACCTGACCCTAACAAGAAATCCTAGCTACCATATCTGAAATCTAACCGCTGGGATCTACTAAATCTGGATCTGGGAAATATTTTGAGCGACGTCGGTCGAGACTCCATTGAAGATGACGACGAAGTTGCTCCAAAGCGCGGGGATCGACAAGCTCCATTGAAGATGGCGACGGCAGAGGTGCTCCAAAGCGGTGACGCTCAAGTTGCTGATGAGAAGAAAGGAGGAGGAGAAGAAGAAGAAGAAGATCGGCGGTGGTAGGGGTGGACCGGTTCGGGCCTGGGCCCGGCCGGGCCGAGCCTCGGTTCTTATATTTTTTTTGGCTTTTCCTAATTAACCCCAACCCTCCCCCCTCACCCCCAAACCACCCCAAACCACCTCAAATGGCCCATCATACCCAGCCCAACCCAAAAACTTAAAAAAAATTCAACTGGGCCGGTTCATGTTTTAGGAGGACCGGCCCCGGCCCGCCTACCTCACTGGGCCGGGTGGCCCCAACCGGGCACCAACCGGTTCACCGGGCCGGTCCGGGCCCGCACAGTAGCGGGCCGGTTGGCCCGGCCCGAGTCCACTCCTAGGCGGTGGCGGATCTGTCTGAGAACGCGAACAATGAACAATGCTGGCTCTGCCGGAAAACATGAACGGCCGTGTGCAGCTGCGTTTGGCTAGCCCTGTGTCACGAAGAAGACATGTCCTGGAGCTAAGGCATATCCCTAGGGGTGGGCGCGGTCCGGAACGGTCCGGTAAATTGGTAAAAACCCGTAATGTATCCGTGAGTTTTTTAACGGTCTGGTACAGTCCGGTTCCAAGGATAGAACCGTTCGGTACCATGTCATTTCGGAACGGTACAAAACGGTATGGTACAATGCCAAACACATGCTAAAAATTGAACAAATCTTGCAATTAGTAGATATCATCACAACAACCAACTCACATGAAATGTTGAAATAAATACAAGAAATTGCATACGTAGTACTAAAATTCACAAATACACAAATAGTCCAACACAACTAAGAAAACGTATAACAAAACAATGACGCGCAAGATAAATATCATCTTTAATTTACTAAATTCATGTGAAAATATAAAAACAAATATCATCAAATTGTTGAATATAATAGAAATCTTCAACGTTCTTCTTCTTCATTCAGAATTAAATATTACTCTGTAGTTCTAATTTAATTTATAGTTGAACCTTGAGAGCTAAGATTTAAACCAAATTAATTAAGTTGTAAAAATTGCACAAACATGATACAACAAAAAGTCATGTACACTACATTACTAGAAATGAATAGTCATTAATGATTTCTAAAATTTTAATATTCTTTCAATATATATATAAACACATTTAGATATCTTAAGGACACATGAATACTTGGGGTATAAAATTGTTGGTCTATAAAAGAGATCTATTGATATAGAAAAAATATAAAAAATTCAAATGCATTATTTTCGAACGGTTCGGTCCTGTATTTTTCGGTTCTCAAAATCTAGGACTGGTTTCGTACCCGATTCAAACGGTATGGTTTCGGTACAGGATAAAAAACTATAGAACCGTTTAAATACCCGGTATTCGGTTCGATACCATTATGGGATGATTCGGTACCGCTTCAGTTCGGGTTTTATGCCCACCCCTGCATATCCCTGCCTCCTAGAGTCCTGGAGCGCAGATGGAAGTTGTAGACGAACGGGAAAAGCAGATCTACTGGGTTGGGCTTTTCAAAGGCTTTTAATCACTTTTTTATCCAATTACAAATTATTCATATTTTTGTCAATACTCAAAATGTAGAAGTAATACTTCAGCCATTTTTTCTAAATGTAATTACTCACTTTTGAAAATGTAATACGAGTACATTTGATTCTGTTGCAAAGCAAATACTTGAACACGAAAGTAATTATTCACAATGTAGAGCCCGTTTGGTAGTTCTGTTTTTCGATTTATCAGGCTTATCTGTCAACTTTTTCACCAAACGCGTAACTTTTTATTTCGCGTGTTGAATTGTGTAATATAAGAAAAAGTAAGGTTGAAGTTACTTTTCTGGTTGTATTGGCTGAAGTTATTGTAAGGGACCAGTTTAGCTATTTTACATACAATTGTTTCTTTATTTTATTAATAAAATATATTTTAAATTTTAATAAATAAGCAGAATCAGCCAATGCAGTCACTTCAGCCAGAATTTCATAAATTTCAGCAGAATCAGCCGATTCAGCAGATTTTGATATTACTAAACGGGCTCGTAGTCAGTATTTTTTTGGACAGAATGCATTCCGTAATTAGTTTTAGAAAAGTAAGTACGGGGTATAGTACTGGGATGTTTTCTAATGGAATGTTTTCAGTCCTAGATAAGACTAGATCAGATCAAATCAGACTTAAACAAACCACACCAGATCAGACTACCATAGATATAAAATACACATTTATCATATCAATTTAGACCAGATCAAACTAGGCTCTAACAGATCAGATCTGATCAAACCAACAAATTTTAGCACAAAAGAAAACATCCTAGATTAGTGTGAAAACATCCTAAAAGAAAACATCCTAGATTCCTAGATTAGTATGTACCTAATTACATGATCACGGCCACAGGTTGCACCGTAAGAGCCTGTGATAAATTGATAAAGCTACTCTCTATGTCTCTCTTTCATGCTTAGAGAGCATCTTTAATGTAATAATGTACACCGTGCACATGTGATATGAGAAAATGAGAAGTATAGACAGATAAAATTTATTTTTAGCAAGAATGTCAAGCACAATGTCTACGTCTAGACGTTTCTCTTGACATTGTGTAGAAATAGTTACCAAAAATTGATAAGACTATTTAATTAGAGAGAGATTATATTAATTAAATTTTGTTATGCCACGTGTTCACCGTGCACACTGTTACATTGGAGATGCTCTGACTTTATAAGATCAAATTTTATTGACTTTGATTGATAATTATTTAAAATTATATTTTTGGTATATGAAAAATCATTTTAAATGCTTAATTTGAAAAATATTATATCAATTTTTATTTTTAATAGATTTTATAAATTTGTACTCTTAAATACTCCATATATTATTACTCTTAAGTACGTAGTAATATTTAAGAGAAACAATTACAATAGAATTAATGGAAGATTCCCGTAACAAGATTTGAAACAATTTAAATTTCAAAATATCTATGTGGTTGTGAACCTAATTTATGAATGTGTAGAACATATACTATGCTCTGTGGCTGTGAACCTAATTTGTGAATGTGTTGAAAAGATACTATGCTTTGTGGTTGTCTAGCCAATTTGAGAATTTGTTAATTACATGTTGAACAGATATTGTACTTTTCATGCATTTTGAATTACATGTCCATGCCTGTAACTTATGATGACATCTGGCTTCATTGATATCAATTGTGTATGACATGTGAATGATTCAAAACTCTGTGAAAATGGCATGCAACATATGACTTGCATAATCTTCAAAAACCATAAGTTTACCAAATATATTGGGCTTACAAAAACTGATGTACTGTAGAATGGTCATGACATAACTATTGTCCCTTCTACATTTGCATACAAAAATGCACTTTACACGCTTTTCATAGTCTACTAACAAAAAAATATTTGTGCTCGCAGAATAAAGGTGTGTGATCAAGTTTATATAAGTGCAATATTCACAAAAACAACCTTTGTGTTAACTGCAATCTGAAAAGTTCATCTGTGAAGATGTCGTACATCTTCACCTATGAATTCATATTGCTGACTTGCATTGTTTGGTGTGGTAGTTGCGAGATGTGCTCCATACTTGCTCTAGCTGCCTCATACAGTTCAGGAGTAATTTGCGCATTCCTAAGCAACAATCACAACCTTTGCAACATGTCTTTCTTTACATGCCTCAACTTGTCCCACCGTTATGTCTAAGGGCTTCCTCCATGACATATTGGTAGCTTAGAAACACATTGTTCAATGTTGTAAGCATGAGCTCCTCAAATTATGTGTTCACTGCATTTATTAACCCCATAATGCTTGTAGAAGCCTTTTGTTCTTTGATGGAGTCTATTGCCCTAAAAAAACAAGTCTAACACATCAAAGTCAAGACTATTAGGTGGTTGATAGCTGAGTTGAATATTCCATCCATCTTTTGTTGCATAGCTCAGAAAATCTGGATCATTAACAATGTGAGGTCTTGCATTATCTTGCTGAATTATTGTACTCCTATTATTTTCATCATGTTAGTTCTCTTTTATTGATGGTAGAACCTGTTGAGTATCATGTCCTTTATGACTAGCCTTGTCACACTCAGTGTTGTCTTAGTCTCTAATGTCCCCGTTGACCTGTTTTTACTT